CCTCTTTTTATTACAAAAGTAATATATGCTCACTGAAAAAAAAAAAAAAACTTTTGGATAACAGAGTAAATTAAGAAGTATTACAGGAAAAATAGATATGATGAAGCAGTTAATTAACTATAAAGACGTCTACATAAAATAAAGCACAAGAATACCTGAAAAAGTATGATGCGTTAAAATTTCACAGACTCATCCCTACATTGTGGTCCAGTCAGCCAATGTGGTCCAGTAAGCCAATGTGACCCTCCACCATTCCTTTTGTGCCATGTTATAGTGGCAGTGGTGGGTGGGGGGCACCTAAACCAACATCTTCAGGAAGCAGGATTTTTTTTAAAACCAAGAATATTACCTTAAAAGTTTTCTAAAAAACAGAGTACAACAACAAAGTAAGTTATCTGTAGTTTTTAATAACCCAATGGATGGATTTGTGAAAGGCAAATGAAGCACATTTTTGTCATCCGTCTGAAACAAATACCAAGTTATTCAGAAAGCAAATGATGGTTGGATAGAGGTATATCTTATCTGCACTGTGCTTTACTGTGCTCTGCAGATACTGTGTTTTTCACAAACTGAAGGTCTGTAGCAACCCTGCATCAAGTAAGTCTGTCAGTACCATTTTCCTGTATGTACTCACTTCATGTCTGTGTGTCACATTTTAGAAATTTTCACAGTATTTCAAACTTTTTCATAATGCTATTTATTGCACATTCAAGAGAGTGTGGACATAACTCTTATATGTACTGGGAAACTAAAAAATTTATGCGACTTGCTTTATTGCAATATTTGCTTTATTGCAGTGATCAGGTACCAAACCTGCAACACCGCTGAGGTATGCCTGTGCATTTATTAGAACCTGAGGATTTATTTTTTCTTTATAAATGTTTTTTTTTTTAATAGTTTAGGTGAAAGTTTACAAAGCACATTAGTTTTCCATTCAACAATTTACACACATTTTGTTTTGTAACAACGGTTGCAATTCCCTCAGCAGACAGCACTCTTCCCACTTGCTCCTTGGGTTTCCCCATTTCCATCCATCCTCCTTTCCTGCCCCTTCCTTCCTTTTGAACTTTGTTCTTGGGCAAATGCTGCCCACAGGTCTTATATGAATGTGCTGAGAAGTACATTCCTTCCTGGTGTTATTATTCACTTTAGAGGCCTGTCTATTGTTTGGGTGCAAGTTGATCCCTGGAGGTGATTTCAGTTCTAGGCTTGAAGGGTGTCTATGGGCCATAGGCTTAGGGGTTCCATCTGTCTCTATCAGACCAGTAAGTCTGGTCATTTTTATGATATTGAATTTTGTTCTATTTATTTTTTTCTCGCTCTCTGTCCAGGACCTTCAATTGCGATCTTGATCAGAGTGGTCAGTAATGGTAGACAGGCACTATCTGGTCTCAGGGTAGTGGAGGCTGTGAGAACCTCAGGATTTTTTGTTTATCAGAATTTCATTTTCAATATCAGTATCACATGCAATAAATTACATATCTTCAAGAAGAAACAGGAATGCTGCTAAAAATATATGATAAACAAATTAATATTAACCTATTAGAAGAATGAGCAAAATACATGAAGGTAATTTATGGAATAGTTTATGAATAAAATATAAAAATAGGTTCCTCCTTGCTAATAAGCAAAAAAGAAAAACTGCAAAGCAAAGAAGACCCAAATGTTCAAGAGGAATTGGTTAAATAAATTATGGCATAGGAGCTCTGGTGGTGTAGTGCCTAAGGCATTTTGACTGCTAACCAGAAGGCTGGAGGATCAAACCCACCAGCCACTCCTCAGAAGGAAGACTGGGCAATCTACTTCCATAGAGATACTGCCTCGGAAACCCAAAGAAGGGTCGCTATGAGTTGGGACCAAGTTGACGGCAGGAAGTTTTCTGTATGATAAATTAATATGCCATTATTTAAATTATATTTTTGAGAATTGAGTTTCATGAAAAATATTCAAAAAACAATACAGATTCAATTTTGTAAAAATAAGAAATATGAAATAAAATATTGATAATAAAGAGTGATATTCTTTAAGTGTTGAGATCAGTGGTAATGTGCTTTCTTTTATATTTCTGTGTGTTTTCTAAGTTTTCTGTAACAATATTCACTAATTTCACAGAGTAATTTTTTTTCTTTATTGTGATTTGGGTGAAGATTTACAGAGCAAATTCACTTTCCATACAGTAGTTCACATATACTTTGTCTCATGACATTGACCACAATTTACCACAATGCAACAGCTCCTCTCCCACTTCCTCCCCATAGTTACCTCTTCCCTGTGTCCATCCCTCTATGGACTCCTGCCCCCTAAGCTGTCTGCATAAGCAGCCCTTGTTTCTCCCATGATTGTTCTCTCCAAGGAGAGTATCTACTTGAGGCAAATGTTCAACTCATATGCCTGTCTTTTTTTTGACTGGAAATCACAGGTGTGGGTTCAATTCCAGACCCGAAGGGCAGCTAGGGGCCATAGTCTCAGTGTTCCACCAGGCTCTATCAGACCAGCAAACCTGGTCCCCCCTTTTTTTTCCTCCAAATGATTTTAAGTTTTGTTCAACATTGTTCTACCCCTCTATCAAGGATCTCCTACATAGATCCCCTTCCAAGGGGATGACAGTGGTAGCCGGGCACCATCTAGTTCTTCTGGTCTCATAGTCATATAGGCTGCAGATCGGATGGTGTACCAGTTGCTAGGACTAATTGTTTCCATGACTTTTTGGTTTTCTTCATTCTTCTTTGCTCTGGATGAGGAAAGACCCACCATTGCATCTAGATGGCAGCTTGCTAGCTTTTAAGATCCCAGTTGCTACTCGCCAAAGTAGGAAATGGAACAATATTTTGTATAGCATGTTATACCAATTGAGCTTGATGTCCCCTGAGACTATGGTCCCAAGCCCACAGGTTCAACTACTCGGTCCCTCTGGGTAGCTGGCTGTGACCAAGCAGTGATCACAACCTTGCCCCTTGTCAGCTCTACTATACACCTGGGAATTCTGATCATTCACATAAACTTATAGGACCATTGTCTGCCAACCCTATATATATTCTTAGATACACTCCCCATTTCATAGACATACCTAATCGTTCAGCCTGTCCACCCATCTATCCACCCATATACCCATGTTTGCCTTCACTGACAATGCAGTACTATATTGCAAAAGGGTTCATATTTGTTGTCTGTACCTCCCATGTACCTCTATGTCTTTCTGAGCCTCAGTGCTGCCATATTGGTCACTCACAGAGTAATTTTTAAAATATAAAATATTAATTGATGATTCTGAATTTCATGAGGGAAAGGACCACAGCCTGTGTTTAGTCATTGATTATAGTGCCTGGCACATAGTATATATGCAATGACTAGACATCAGATAGGTCAAGGAATGAACAAATGAAGGACAGATACATTCATTTAGATTTTTTTTTTTAATTTTGATATAATTTTGGATTTATAGGAAGGTTGCAAATTAATACATTTCCTAGATACCCTTCACCCAGATTCCCCAAATGTTAACATTTTACTATATTTGCTCTATCCTTCTCTCTCTCAGTAGATATTTTCTTAATGACTAAAATCTGCTTTCTTACAGAAACTCTCAGGAGGGTGTCAGGGAAATACAACGTCACAGACAGTGCCAGCGCTGTCTTGTCCAAGGAGGTCCACACAAGCTTCACCGCTCTTTTATTTCTGAGTCAGTGTGGAGCACCACATGAGGGCTTTATATTCTTGCAGTACATAAAACACATGTGAGCGATGGTCCATATGCCATACAAGTAAGTAAGCTACTGGGAGAGTCCTGAGATGAGGATTAAAGAGAAAATAATCATACTAAATGAAGCAAAGCAAACAAAGTATGTTGTTGTTGTTATTATGTGCCGTCAAGTCGGACCCGACTCATAGCGACCCCTCCTTGGGTTTCTGAGGCAGTATAACTATGGAAGTAATAAATTCTAGGAAGTCCAACTTTTGGGGGTCAGAATAAAAGAGAGAGAAGAAGAAAGAAAAGCGGGCAGGGGGGTTGGTTCCTGGTGGTCTAGAAATAAGATAACTTAGCAGCAATGTAGCCTTCTTTATTTAAGGTTTTGAAGAAAATGCTTTTCTGATTGTGAATTTTATTTCATTTCTTCTTTGAATTTTTATTTTTCAAGTAAATCCTAATCCATCAAAGTGACAGGTTCCAGCTGTCAATATCAGATAAACACATAAACACATTAGCAAAAGAGTGAGTACCACTTTCAGCCACCGTCTTAACAGCACGCTGTCAGAGACTCAATAGAGTCCCTATCAATCAAGAAATTAAAGTTGCAAAAGCCTGGAAAACATTTGTCTTGGACAGACTAATTAGGAAATTAGTTTACATCTCTCACTGAAGGTTTTTGAAACGCAGGTCCTTCAAGTGTATTGGAAATCTTCAGTACGCTCTCAGGCCTTCAAAAATAACTTCCTGAAAAACTTAAATTTAAGCCTGTTTCACTTTAAAGGTTATTGTCACAACTTAATTTGCACAAAGAAAAAGTACTACTCACACATATGTCTATGTACTGGTAATTTCACAAAGTATGACAGAATTAAGGAGCTCTGGTGGCTCAGTGGATAAGTATTTGCCAAAGGTTGGGTTTGAACCTACCCAGTGCCTCCACTGGAGAAAGACTTGGCTATCTGCTTCTTTACTGTAGATCTGTCCCATAGGGCAGAAATGCAGTGTTTCTGCCCTATCAGACAAATGTATCATCACATAGCATCACTATGAGTCAGAATCGACTCAATGTCAACAAAACATGACAAGAACTACCTCAGACAAGCAGATAAAACACAGACTTTGGGACTAAAATTGCTCCACTAAATACACATCAAGTACTTGTGGTTTCAATTTCCCAACTAATAAATCAATATTATGCCCCAAAGAGGCACCACATGATTGCAAAGAATGAAATAAAAGGTTCTAAAAAAAAAGAATATTACTGACGTGTCCACCACATAGGCAAAGCCTTTAGGAACAATGCTCAGCATACCTGATAATTCTTGTTTCACAAATGAAAGCACAGCCAGGTAAACTTGACAGTCAGCTATGATTATCTGCCTCTGAAGCCGATCAACCATGGAGGGGGCAGATTTTCGGACATCAACCTGATTGGTCGAATGAAAGTACACACCATTAAATCACACACAAGAACAATAGTCCTTCCAAAGATCTATTAGTTTTCTGAGTAAAATAATTTCACCTAGGAATTGTGAAACATGGCAATCACTCAAAGCCAAGACCCAACTATAGCAATGAGCCTGGTAGTCCCATAGTCTCATTAGGTCTAGTTTAGTTTTGTTAATAGTGCAATGCCGAAGAGCACTGCAACTCAAAGACAATATTATAAACGATGAAAACTGAATTCACAGGAAGCATGTGAAAACAAACATAAAACTTCGCATTTTACCTTTTTTAAAGTAATGTCCATTCTTATTTATTGATTAAAATCACAAAGTATAAGACACCTACAAAGTTCATAACCTACTACCTTTACAGCCTTCTGCCATCAGGTGCTGAAGAGCAAAGATATTTCTTTGAAGATTAAGGTGCGCCTAACCCAACCCATGGTATTTGCAATAGCCTCATATGCATGTGAGAGCTGGACAATGAATAAGGAAGACCAAAGAAGAAGAGCTGATATTTTTGAGTTGTGATATTGGTGAAGAATGCGGGAAGTACCATGGACTGCCAAAAGAACTAACAAATCTGTCCTGGAGGAAGTGCAGCCGGAATGCTCCTTGGAAGTGAGAATGGCCAGACTTCATCTCACTTGCTTTGGGCACACTGTCAGAAAGAACCATTCCCTGGAGAAGGAGATTATGCTTAGTAAAGTGGAGGGTCAACGAAAAAGGGGAAGGCCCTCAACAAGATAGACTGACACAGTGACTTCAGTAATAGGCTCAGGTATAGCAAGGATTGTGAGGCTGGCACAGGACCGGGCAATGTTTCCTTCTGTTATACACAGGGTTGCTATGAGTCAGAGCTAACTCAATGGCACCTAACACCGTAACAATACCACCTTCAGGAAGGTCTAACATTAGGGTGTATCCCCTTGGTGAAGGCAACTGAGACGTAAGGGTCAGAACTAATCACATTTCAGTTATGGAGTAAATACTCTGTAATTAAACATTAGCTTTGAACACATCACAAAACTGAGTTTGAAATTTAAGTCATATCCTCTAAGGGGGCTGCCTCCATGGAATAAGCAAAAAGTCAAACCCAAAATACCCACTTTTTATAAAATGTTGGTCTTTATTGTGAAGAATATTTCTAAAATGAAAAAAAGTCACTGTGTAATTAAACAGTATACGTTTTTAATACACAGTAAACTTAAACAAAATAAGCTAAAAAGCTTTCATATACTTTGTCAGTTATATAAGAAAGCAATCTGAGAAGAAGAAGGACGAATGGAAACAGTAAATACAGGGAGGAAGTGGGAAGAGAGCTGCTACACTGTGGGGATTGCAATCAATTTCACAAAACAAAATGGTATGAATTGTTGAATAGAAAACCAACGTGTTCTGTAAACTTTCACTCAAATCACAATTAAAAAAAAGAAGAAGCAGGAAATTGGAAAATTTCTCAGGATTTTCACAAATATGCCAAGAGTACACACAACAGAGTGATCTGTTAGCATTTTTTTAGATTTTAGCATAATCCATTATGGTCACTGATTTTCCGAACCTAGCCAAACGCTCACTACTGTGTTAGCTTGAGCAAATGTCAATGTATTGATGCTTACATTTCTTTGTCTGTAATAGTACCTAACAATATCAAAAGAACATGCACTTCATCATTCTAATGATTAAAAGAGGCTTCTGTCTTCAAAAATTTGTTTACGTAATCAGAAGCCACAAGAAGCATTCAGTGCTTTCTTTTCAGTCATAGTCTAAATACCCAAAACAGAGCAAATGAGTTACGTCTTAAAGAAGTGGCACACAGTTCATAACACAATGATGTAAGACTTACATTCTTCTTGATCTTATTCTTGATTGTTTCAATTACTCCAGCCTCTTCACTTTCACACAGCTTTTCTGTAGTTTTTAAGTCATCACAGGCTAGCTGCATTTTCTCTTCCTCAAACGTCATCATGGCATTCTTCCAAAACAGAAGGAGAGAATGAATGAATCAGTATGTGTCTGAAAATGTAGGACAAGTTATTACCACAAAACTCCAAAGTGGAATAAAATCTCATAAATTATTTGTTGCAAGTAAAATAATTAGAATGTTATACAGCATAGCCTATTCATCTTAAAGAAACTATAATCTCAATATAAAATAAGAATATACCTCTATGACACCAGCATAGAAAAATATATGGTCATAAGCATCCTTGCAATTACTATTTTAAAGTTTTGTTGCTAGACACAGGAACAAAAAACCCTGTAAAATTTCTAATTGGTCCACTCGATCGCATTTTTATTGTGTTGCCTCATTCAAAAACCCATTTGCTCACATGTGTGTTCCTGGCTCCATCAAGCCCTGCACAGAAATTCTAATGAAACAACCACTAGTAGGTGTTCTTTGAACATGATCCATCTTTTCAGAAACAGCAATTCTAGTGGGTTCACTCATAAGCAATTCACCGTTTCATTCTGTTGTAGTACACAGAGTCACTATCCATCAGAACTAACTCGACGGCACCTAACAACAACTGACAGCCATCTTCCAGGTACCTGATCCTGGCAGATTTTTCAGGTCACATTTGAGCATGAAGGGGCAGTCCCATTTCTACTAAAAATCTACTACTTTTACCCCATAGAAGAACTGAGGTTTCTGAGATGAATGGGCTACAAGGGCAGGGCAGAGTCACTGCGGGACACCTGTTCGTGGTAGGTCCTAATGAGTATTAAATCTGTCTGGCTCTCCATTCCCCATCACATTCAGCCGGCCCCACTCTGGCACTCTAGGCAGCATGACTTTAACTTGCTTTTCCATTCTAGCCAAACCAGACCACTACCACCACCTGTGCCCAAGCCTCCCAGCCACTTCCCAAACATCCTGAGGCTGCTGAAATCTCAACCCTGACTCAAATGACACAGCTTCCCTCCTTTACCCTGTCCTCCACACAGCCAGTGGGAACGACTTCCTTAAATCCCTTGTAGTTGACTGGGTACTAATTTTATGATCTCCACCAACTACCATTTTCCTTAAGGCCCAGGGATTATTTTCTTGCAAATAAACCCATTGCTATTGAATTGATTCTAACTCACAGAGACTCCACGTATAAGTAGACCTATGTATGCTCCCTAGGGTTTTCAACAGCTAGGTGGTGTACTGCCTAAGGCACTTGATTGCTAAGCACAAGGCTGGTGGTTCAAACCTACCAGCCGCTCCTCGGAAGACAGGTTGGGCAATCTACTTTCACAGTGATACCGCCTCGGAAACCAAAGGAGGGGTCACTATGAGTCGGGGCCGACTTGACAGCAGTGCATTTGGTTTTTGGGTTATGATCTTATGGAAGTAGATCACCAGGGCTTTCCACCACGGTGCCTCTGGGTATTCAAACTGCCAACCTTTCAGTCAGTAGATGACTGCAAACTATTTGTACCACCCAGGGTCCATTTTCTCGCAAATAGTAGGCCTTAAGCTTTTGTTATATTAACTGGTAATATGAGGAAATAAATAGCTTGAATGAAAACACCATCTCACCAGAAGCTGGCCTAATCACTGGGGTCAGCTGCTGCCAGGCTGAGCACCTCATGTCCATTCTCTTACATCTTTCTAAATCTCAAATCTAAACGTCTTGCCCCTTTGACTCCTCTCTGTCTCCACTCATGACTTCTGTTGTTTTGCTGTTGGCTGTTACATAACATTATGGGAATTGTTTTTTTAAGTATATGTTTAAAAGTTGTTTGTATAAAGTTACAAGCATCCAACTTCCTACATTGCCCAATTTACTTTAAAACCTAAACACAACTTAGCCCCTCAATTGCCAAATATTAGTTTGTAAAAATACAATACTAACTGACAAACTTCAGCTCAGTGAACATAACTTGTTTTCCAGTCCACAGTTAACCAATAATTTTAGAAAAAGCTTTATTATCCAAATTCAGACTTTTCTTTTCTCTCTCTCTCTTTTTTTTTTTTTTTTTTAATTTAATGACCCTATATGCTGTTTTAACTTTTGGAGAGGTCTTTCAATTACATTTTTTATTCTAGAAGGGGTTTTTGTTGGAAAATATATAATCCCCTATAATTATTTCATAGACATTGGTTGATTGGCAAAAACAGAATTTCAGTTTTTAACTTTATAAAAATCTTTCATGCCAGTGTATCTATACGACAGTGGCCACTAACAGACATATTTGATACATTAATTTCCTTCATGCCAATACCTCTCCCCATAACAACTTACCAAAAAACTGACAAAGCTGGCTCCAAAACTCATTAACGGGCTATGATTTCTGTTAAAGAAACATAATAAAATTATTTTTAAGGTAAATTTTAATTTAAAAAGCATTGAAATATAAGAATCACTACATAATCCTAACAACTGACTAGGAGTTGAGGCCTTCAAACAGATTAAACTACCTTGAAGAAAAGGTTAAAGACACAAAGTGATTCACAGCTCTCTGCCAGGATAGAATATGCCTTTTACTCTTCAAAGCAAGGCAAACAATAAAGTCAAAGGATACAGAGACTTTTAATTATAGGTATTAAAGAGTTGACAGTCACCATAAAGACTGTAGAAACAATCTGACATCTGCAAGAACATGGCCAAAAGAAGATAATTAACATTCATTTTTTAAAAGGAAAGCTTGTTCAAAAGTTTACGTGCATAAAATAAGTATGACATCTAGAATAGATCAAAGAGTTTCGCCAAGGAGCCCAACCTCAGAAACTCACCACTCTGTCCAAAGAACTTTAAGAATCTGCCTAGTCAGTTATTCCTCCTATGTGATCTAGTCACAGCCAATTTCACAAGTAGGTCAACTATGAAACCAAATCAAACCAACACCAATATAATTTCAAGAATACGTGCTTTCTGCTTCAAAATCATGAACTGTTCAAAATGCAGATGTTCATCTTTCAGTTTGTCTAGGGAGGCGGTTACAAAGAAGAGACAGATGATCTGTACATTGTACTAAAAGAGACAAGCAAGTTGTAACTCTCTTCTTAATGAAAATCACCTTACTGATTTTCTTATTATGCCAATAATATACAGTCACTGAAAATATACAAAGGCATGTAACAATCCATTGAGTCAAATCACCTACTGGATATTCAGTGTTGTTCCAGTGTGGGGTGGGGTGGGGATGGGGGTGAGTGTGGGAGACAGTGTATCTCAATGTTGTATGTGCACACACACACATTCAACATTCAGATGAACAGCATCATACAGACATTTGGCAGACCAGTTCACACACCTCCTTGGGACAAACTGCTAGAGGCAGCATTGCTGAATCAGAAGGTATGCACCTCCATTTTCCTTTTGGAGGGTGGGGGCAGTGTGTGTATGAGTGAGTGAGTGTGTGTGTCTGTGTGTGTGTGAGAGAGAAAACATATACACAACTTCTGTGTATACATTTTGTTTTGTAGATCTGACTTTGTGTGTATATGACAGAGAGATCAGGAACTCATTAATAGGAATGCTAACCTTCTGTTACAATTTCTTTCTCGTCTATTTAATACCTATCCAATATCCAACAGTTAATAATAATAATTTACTCCCACCAAAACCTACAAGTAAAAAAAAAACAAACCGGGAAGTCAAGCACTTTTGAAAAATCCCAAACTAGCACTCATACTTATACACCTACCTCAAATACCGTATCTATTGTGAAATCTCTGTCATTCCTGCCCTTGCACCAAAACAGATGTTCAATTTTACCATTCCACAACACTGTATAGACATATAATATAGGCTACATTACAATTTTGTTAGCTTATCAGTCTTTCCCTCTAGAATGCTATTTCCTGCTTTTACCTGTCATCATAGTATCTCTGTCATCACAGTATCTTACACACAGCAAGTATGCAACAAATATGAATCAGTGAATGAATGAAGGACAAAGAACACTGTCTTCAAGGAACAGACACAATTCAATTAAGGGCTGATTGTTACACTTTTATCCCTCTTTTCCCTTTCCTTTCTTGTATGTTGATCACTTTGTCATTTGAGAAATGAAAGAAGCTGAAACTAGAGTTGACCAATGTTGCTACATTTGCTTCTTGTACTAAAATTAGGTTTCTGAGAGTTAGAGATTAATTATTCATGCTAGTTTAGCCCTTATTACTTCACATACTATCTCATCATTTAAGTGAAAAAAAATAAAAAAAAACCCTGTAGCAACCACCCAATGGAAGAATTTTTTCTTTCCTTGAAATATGGACTCTGAAAGCCCCACAGCATCTGGGCACATGAGGTACCCAATGATGAACTAACTCATCAGTGAGGATGTGCCCTCTCACTGATGGCGCTGCACATTCCTCAGTATTGAGTTTAATATACCAATGTTCATTTTTTAAATTCACTTGATTTCTTAACTCAACATACTTCAAATGACCCTAAATTATTTTATCTCACCTTAATCAATTTTGGCTCATGCATGAGTCTCTACAAAAACTTGTTTTCATTTTGGAGATGTGGAAATGTTCCCAAAGAGTAACAGGATCATTACATCAAAATTGATGCTAAGAAAGGTCCCTGGGTGGCTCCAACAGTCTGCACTCAGCTAGTAACCCAAAGGTTAACTATTCAAACCCACCCAGTGGCACTGTGGAAGACCTAGGCCTGGTGAGCATTTCCATAAAGATTATAGCCAACCCAACTCTGGAGTGTACGGAGTCTGTCCAAATGAACACATAAGCAAACAAACGCCTCAACAAACAATAACTACTACCAAACAATGGCCATAGGGTGGCTCACTTTTTAAAAACAAACGATACAAAACTGACGCTAAGAGAGAAGGAGGGGACTCCTAGTTCAATAGGGCTCATATTGGAATCAATAAACAATTATGAAAGCAAGATGGGAATGGGAATATTATGAAAATATTTAGTCTAATGGTAAAGAATACAACAAAAACGCAAATTTTCCTAAATATCAAAACACACACACACACACACACACACACAAAGGTGGGAGACAGTGTAATATACCACATAGTGAAAAACTACTTATTTCAAAGATGAAAGTATATAAACATATATACATATTTGCTTACATTAAAAACAACCATGATAGGATAAACCTTAAAAAATTAATGGATATGTATAAAAGTGAGAGAGAGAATGCTGTTGCTGTTATGTGCTGTCAAGTCAGACCCAACTCATAGCGACCCCTCCTTGAGTTTCCAAGGCAGTAACACTACGGAAGTAGATTGCCACATCTTTCTTCCAAGGAGTGGCTGGTGGGTTTGAACCGCCAGCCTTCTGGTTAGCAGTCAAGTGCCTTAGGCACTACACTACCAGAGCTCTCTCAAGAGAGAATAGGGAATATGAAACAAGGCTATACATTGTTTTGTAGATTTGACTTTAGAAGCACGTAAATATTCTACATAATTATAAAACAAAATTAAATTTTAGTAATCTACCCCCTAAAAGTCAAAAGTGAAATTAATTAAATACACCTAATTGCAAAACCTGCTGGTAAGATAACGACACAGAGAGGAACCATTCCAACTGATGTTAAAGCACAGTTAAGTTGACAGTACACCCGTTATGAAATACCCTGAAAAGAGATCCTAAAAACAGGAGTTCCGGCAAGATGGCGGACTAGGCAGAAGGATTGCAAAGACCCTCTTCAACAAAGAAAAGGGAAACCAATTAACACAGACACAGAAGATAATCTTGGACCCCTGAGCCTTGAAGGGAAGGATACAGAATTGGACTAA